GCGCGTCTCGTGGGCTAGACTAACAAAACATTAAAATGCAACAACGTCACTTACATCATCATCACCGCATCTCGCGCGACGCTCCCTGATGCACTCGTAACATTCAAATGTTTATTTTAAATTCGACTAATATTCATTCTTTATTCACAATCTCCTCATCACAGGCAGGCGCAACACTTATTTCAGCATGTGTTCGTGTTTGTGAGTGCTGCGTGCGTCACTCATGGCACGTGCCTATATCGTGCGCTACATCGAACATTTTTCTATCGTTATCGAAGAAGGTGTAGCGTCGATAAATATCGATACCGTTTTATCGCCCAGGCCTATTAAGGGGTTTCATCAAATCTCTAAGTAATCTGATTATTAGTGTTTGGGAGGATTAGTGTTTGCAGGATGAAGACTCGTACCTTGGGTGGGGAGTGCTGGTGCTTGCCGGGACCCTGGGGATGTTGCGAGCGCAGGGCACGAGGGATGAACTCTGGGGCCAGCGGGTTGAGCACGTAGGTCTTTTTCAGCTCCAGAGCCTCCAGCTGGATTTTAATCTGTTCAAAGGTGATGCCGTGGAGACTGTGGTTCTCATGACAGATGGAGATGAAGGTCTCCCAGAACTTTCTGTGAAGGACCAAACGGATGCAGAGGTTTTGAGTAAAAACAGCACTCATCATTAAACAGGGCTGATATCTGATGTACCTCACTATATATGCGCCATCAACACAAAAGAAAACCAAGAAGGTTCAATCTAGAGCAGAAGTTCCCAAACTTTATGCTAGGACCCACCTAGAGATTAAGACCAACATATGTTTTTAAAAGCAAAATCTGAAAAAAAAAAGGAATGGAAATTGTAAATGGAAAATAGAGTTCAGTAACCAAGTCATATGCTGATTCGGTAGCTAGCTGTTTGGCAGATTCGACTCTAAATTCAGGAAAGGATTCTTTAAACTGATTCAAACCAGTAACCTGTCAGTTTGTAAGTCTTTTTCAATAATTTATTAAAATAACCACTAATAAGTCTCAGACTAACAGGGTTGGGTCCCATTTAAAATTAAAACGAGAATGTAGACATTTTAGCAAACATGATACTGAATTGCAGCTTGAATTTTAATGAAAATAAAATTACAATGAATTGAGGAAAAACAACGGAAGAAATTCACTTAATTTTTTACTAGAAAAGCAAAGTTTGTCAAGATAATGCTTGACAATGCCTTGTTTAAAAGTTTGGGAAAGAATGACAGATAGTCATAAGTCAACTATAGAATTTCTATTTGGTTTAAATAGTTCTTCATATTAAATAAAGTATCTTTTGTTGACCAGGGTGGAAGAACATTTCATTTCCCTGTGTTAAACTTCTTTGAATTGTAATTCCTGTTATTCTAATTCAAACTCCAAATCAACTTCATGTGGAATGTTTGAATAAATCACCGATCTACAGTGATTTCAAAGCAAAATTATTTTACTCCACCATTTTTTAAAAACTTTTTTATTGTATTAAAAAATACAATAAAATTTTCCTATTGCCTTACATTACTATAGCATTTCCTTAAAATCCTACTGACAAAGCCATTATAATAACTGCCTACTGAATTGTGATTGGTATTTTCCCCCTTGATTCTATTTAACATCTACAAAAGAAAGACAGTATATTGCTTTGTGTTCATTCCTGTGCACAGCCAACTAAAAACAAGACATCCCTTATAAAAATCAACCATGGTTTTGCTACAAATAAAACCAAAAAACCCTAGCTACTATAGTTAAACCATGGTAACCACAAATTACCCATGTTTACTATAGTTTAACCATGGTATTTGTAGTAAAACTGTGGTTATACAAATGGTAATCAACACGCCAAAAATCCATGGTTACTATGCTTTTACTATAATAAAACCATGGTTAATTTTCATTAGGGATGCTAAATTTACCCAAAAGCTTCGACATGAATCTTTTGCTGCTGTGTAAGGATCGTCCAGTTACAATCTAGTTGTTTTCATTTCCGTTAAACTTCTTTGAATTGTAATTCCTGTTATTCTAATTCAAACTCCAAATCAACTTCATGTGGAATGTTTGAATAAATCACTGATCTACAGTGATTTCAAAGCAAAATTATTTTACTCCACCATTTTTTTTTTACTTTAGAGATTTAAAAAAATACAATACAATTTTCCTATTTCCTTACATTACTATAGCATTTCCTTAAAATCCTACTGACAAAGCCATTATAATAACTGCCTACTGAATTGTGATTGGTATTTTCCCCCTTGATTCTATTTAACATCTACAAAAGAAAGACAGTATATTGCTTTGTGTTCATTCCTGTGCACAGCCAGCTAAAAACAAGACATCCCTTATAAAAATCAACCATGGTTTTGCTACAAATAAAACCAAAAAACCCTAGCTACTATAGTTAAACCATGGTAACCACAAATTACCCATGTTTACTATAGTTTAACCATGGTATTTGTAGTAAAACTGTGGTTATACAAATGGTAATCAACACGCCAAAAATCCATGGTTACTATGCTTTTACTATAATAAAACCATGGTTAATTTTCATTAGGGATGCTAAATTTACCCAAAAGCTTCGACATGAATCTTTTGCTGCTGTGTAAGGATCGTCCAGTTACAATCTAGTTGTAACTGCTGCAGCCTGATTGTTAAACCACAGACAAAAACACTAGCTATGTTTCCATCCAAAGATGCGAAATTAACTTATGCGCAAAACTGGAATATCGCATAAAACATTTGCGAATAAAGAACCGTTTCCATCCAACGAGTCAAAGAGAACAAAATCGTCACTTCCTGATAAACTGGCACGAAATATCTCTAAGAAAAATAGGAGAAGCCACTGAATATAATAATTTTCATAT